TTTTTTTTTTTTTTTTTTTTTTTTTTTTTTGTTTCTTTTTGATCTCTATACTCCATCTCGAATCTTTCGCGAAAATCACACATTGTTCGAATCTCACGCAACGGTTATCATTATCGGTAATCGTTTTTAGATAGCATTAATCGTGCCTAATTAACTTGGTATTTTACGACGCGGATGCTATATAAATAAATCGTTATGAGTGCAGAAGACAAGAGTCCATTTTAGGTGCGGGATCGATAATAACTAAGCGAGTCGAGCTTACACGATATTATGTAATATCTATGAGTAATCATTCCGCAAATGTTAAGAATAATAATAATAATAATAGTAATAATAATAATTGTAATAGTTAACAATAATATAACAATGATGGTAGCAAGGAGAATGTCTGTTAGCTGTACGTTGCACATAGATCACAGAGTGGATACAGTCACTAGGCATTCAAAAAATTAATCTACAAATAGTGCAAATAGTGCCAAGCCTAGTATCATATATATATATATATAATTCTTTTTTATCTTGATTATTTATATATATATATATATATATATTATATATATAGTAGTATATCTATACATGTAAATAGATATACTATATATACAGAAACATATATATACATAGTTATACATGTATATATAATTTATTTATTTAATTAATCTCATCTTTTGTTTTAGCTGTAAATACTATATACGCGAGAGCGCAGGCACTAAATTGCTGAGATACAATCGTACCAGACTATCAATGATTCTCGGGAAGGAGAAAGATGAGTTCAATGTATATGTGTATGTGTGTGTGTGTGTATATATATATATATATTGATATCGTGTGTATGTGTGTGTGTGTGTGTGTGTGTGTGTGTATATAGCATACCGTAGATAGACGTTTTGATAATGAGGCCTTGTGCAATTAATAGTCAGGTAATACAGTCGTACAAACATGTACAATTTGTATTTGGTCGTGTTTCTATCTAAGGTGAAGTATATCTCAAGGTGATATTTCGTCTGTTCAATTCTTTTCCAAACCGTTTGCTGTTGCAATAAATTCTCGAAACGGTTCACGCGAAAAACGTAAACCTTTCCGTAAGCTTTTTTTTTTCTTTTTTTGAAAGAATTTTTTTGAACACGTGAGCACGTTTTTTTCATTGCTGTCGAATACGTTTGACGAATGTTCTTCCTCGAGGGGTGAGTAAAGCTTGTCTCGTAAGGCAGACGACTATGGAATCGGATCGAGCAAGAAACGCTGGCAAAATTCAGAGACGTGAGAAAGTAAGGTGTTAAAGGAACGTTCGACAAAAAGCGGGATAAGAGGTAAGAGCAATTTCGGACGAACAATCGATCGTGAATGTAACGGGTGTAACGCCTACGAATGTGGCGTCGACAAGAAACGGTCGTGTCGTGTTCTATATAAATGCACACATGTAACACATACTGTGTCTCGTTCCCTGTTACACGTAACGAACATGATCGTGCACGAGTTCTTATTAATTCTTACTTTAAACATGTTTGTCGCATTTGAACAGATAGAGGTCTGCTCGACAGTGTACTTAATTATCACGCGGCTTGATTGGTTCGCTACGCTGCTACGTAAATAAGTGTACGTACAGCGCGACCCCCACACGATGTCGGTTCAAACACTTTTCGTCTGGTCCCATTCGTGTTGGCTTCTCGAAAAAGGAAAGCCAGAAAAAGAGTGGCTATCATTTTTCTGGCATGAACGATCGGTAATTCGTCGATTGATATATTCGTGCTGGAATACATATACAATAGATAACCCGCGGGAAGGATCTCGCCAGAAAGTCTCTCACAGGCGCGAGATCCACTTGTCATCGATATACTCCGCGTTTCCTGCAGCAGACACCTTCCTCTCGATTCCTTCGTACAAATAATAACGTATCGATTTTGTATCAGACCAGCTGACGATTTAAAATATGTACCTACGTACGATGAAGCGCAGCTACGACACCGGAGTTCTATCTTTTAGCTCTGGTCTAGAGA